GATCCTCCTGCCTCAGCCTCGCAAGTGTTGGGATTACAGATGTGGACCCCCACGCCCAGCTAGAGAATTTTTTAAATAAACAGAAAGCCTACTTATGCTGGAGACAGTTCATTCTAAATTACCCTAAGGAACAGGACAATCATCCTAGGTGAGACATTCTTCATCTTTCCCTACTATATTCTATTTTGTTGCTGAAGGAATCCAAGAATAGCAATATAAAACATATTTTCATTCAATAAAAAGGAGGAAACCAAGGCCCCAAAATTTGAAAGTCATATTTTAATGGATGTTAAAAAGAGTACATAAGCAAGATGGCTATTTGCATGCAAGACAGATGGAATGTTTATCTGGTGAGTTAAGGGAAAGCATGAAGAAGGCTGGGGATATAGATATAGCTCAGGGCAAAGGCCCTGGAGTCAACCTCAGGTATAGCCAGAAACAAAAAGAAGAGAAAAGAGAAAGAGAGAGAGAAAGAGAAAGAGAGAGAGAGGGAGAGAAGGGGAGAGAGGGGGAGAGAGAGAGAGGGGGAAAGAGAGAGAGAGAGAGAGAGAAAGAAAGAGACAGAAAGAGAGAGAGAGAAAGGGGAGGGGGAGAGAAAAAATATGAAGGAAGATAAAAATGGAAACGCAGCTGGGTATGGTGGTACATGCCACATGGAATGATCCCAGGGAAGCCAGCGCGAGCTACATACGTGAGTTCAAGGCCAGCCTTAACTACATAGTGAGACTGTCTCAAAAACCCAAGCCAAGGTATGGTGTTGCAAATAAAGGCAGTATGGGAAAAGATAATTATTCTCATTTAGGATGGGGTTTTTGTGCACATCAGCTGGGTCCAACACAACACTGCAACTAAGGCCCCTAAAAATCACTGAGAACAGCACAGGAGACTAGACTGTCAGTGGCCACCAGTCAGGCACATTTTCACATTTTCAAAACCTCCCATCACTGTGATAGTAAAACTACTTGAAATTTAGCATCTCAGAATTATCATTTTTATTTTTTGAGCATACACTATCTTTACCTATTTCCAACCCCACTCTGTCATTTAAAAAACCCAAAATCTGTCTGATAATGCCATTAAAACATAAGGTGCCTGGCGTGGTGGGGTACGCCTATAATTCCAGCACTCAGAAGGCTGAGGCAGGAGGATCGATGCATGAGCACAAGGCCAGCCTGAAGTGCATATGGAGACCCTGTCTCAAAAGACAACAAACAAACAAACATAAAGCAAACCCAAATTGGAAAGTTAACTCTACCTGGGCCACAAACATCTGGACTGTGAAGGTCCAGAAAGAGAAAGAGATCAGGTGTGGTGGCCCACACCTGTAATCCCAGCACTAGGGAGGCCGGGCAGGAGTTCCAGGCCAGCCCGGACTACACAGTGTGTTCAAAGCTAGCTTCAACTATATAGCGGGACCCTGTCTCAAAAAAAAAAAGTAAGAAAAAGAAAAAGAAGGCTGGGAAACTATCAGCAGAAAAGACTGACAGCCAAGACAACTAAATGCAATGTAATACATTAGACTGGATTCTGGGAACAAGAAAGAACAACAAAGAAACTGGTGATGGACAGCTGAAGAGAATGTAGGGGTTAGTAATCCAATTTCAATTTCTTACTTTTGACAAAGGTATCTCCAAATGCTAAAATGTTAGTAAGATCGACTGGATGATTTTGGATGTAGGAACTGTTACATCTTTGTAACTTTTCTGAGAAATCAAACTATTCTAAAATAAAAGCTACTTTCAAAAAACTAGGCAAAAGGAGTCAGGCCTGGTGGGGCACGCCTGTAATCCCAGCACTGGGGAGGCTGAGGCAGGAGGATCACTGTGAGGCCAGCCTGGGCTACACAGTGAGTTCAAGACTATCTCAAAAAGACCAAAAAAAGGAGAGAAAAAAAAAAACTAGGCAAGGTATACTACTCAGCAATAAAAAAGAACATTTTGCTGATAAATGCAATACGAATATAAAAAACATGCCAAATTAAAGCCTTTTACACGAAGGATGCAAACTGATTCCATTTATATGAAAATTCTAGAATGGAAAAAACTACTTTTGGTTTAAAAAAAAAAATCAGAATCATGGTTGCCTTTGTGGAAACTAAGTCTGAAAGGGCAAAAGAACTTTCTGGGGCAACAGCAATGTTCTACACAGCGACCGAGATTTGGGTTATACAGCTTTTTTTTTGGTCACGACTCATCATTTGTGGATTTTGTTTTTATATGAATTTTACTCCCTGAAAATTACAAAACTGTGAACTGCACAAAGTCCTATTTAATATGCGCCTACTAACACTGGAGGAGCGAGGCCTCTTGGGGTGCACAACTTACTGTAAAACACACTGAACAATAAGAGGGGTGGATGACAGGGCAGATACAGCAGTAGGGTAACGGGCACCCCAGTGGAGGTGCCACTCTCACTTTTCTGTGTCTGGAATATTTTACGATGAAAATCAGGAGGACACTGATTACTTGATTTCATTCACAAGTATCTTGGCACCGATCAGACTTAACTCCTCAGGGGCTACTCGTCCTCAAGACCAGCATCTAGGTGCTATCGGAAGAGGAAGCAACGCGGGATCACTAGGGCCGCGCCAGGCAGCCATCAGCCATATTCTGCTAGGCTTGGTCCTGGCACACAGGAAAGGAGAGCGCGGCTAACAGCCCTCGGTCTCGCCCGAGCGGAGAATTTCAATGGCGGAAACAACGGGACCCAGAACAACTTCACGTATGCAGTGGAAATGCCATCACAAAGCGCAGCGTGACCTGCGGGGACATCGTGGGGCCGGGCGCGGGCCCCCCGAGCGCCCAGGCCTCCCAGCCGGCGCCCGATCAGCCCTCGGCCGCCCCCTTCTCCTCGGCCCCGGGCCCGCCGCGTAGGGAACACGCAGCCGCGGTGAGTAACCTCGGGCCAGGGAGGTGACCTGGTGAGCGAAGGCGACCTGGCCCAATCCGGAGCCCCGCGGGGCGGGGCGGTGGCCCG